CGAAACTCATGACATAGAGCTGTTTCAGAATTTGATATTCCACTTTTGTGGCTTGCATTCGGGGTTCTTAGCTAACGGAAGCTTAAGAGAGGAGGAACGTCGATGACACAAATGAGAAGGCTAGAATCGACTGATCGACCGGAGCTACTCCATTTCATTCCTCACTTCTACTCTCATAATCTCCAACCAACCAACAAAGCGAAAGCTATGCAGTATCTATCGACCATAGCCACCACCACCATAAAATTGGTTCCATCCATTTTGATATCCACCATGATGATTGTTGCTGGTAAGTGGTGTTTTCTCTTCCGCCCCGTCATTGTTTGCCGGTGGTTGTTGTGGGTATGCATGCGCCGGTGGTGGGGGTGAGTATGCATGTGCGGGTGGTGGTAGCTGAGATGGGATCTGACCGGGTGGGAATGGTGGATGGTACGGTGGTATTCCTGGTGGCGGATACGGAGGATATCCATACGGATACAGGATCGAGTACGGATTTACCGGGAGTCCAGCCAACGATGGAGCAGGAACTTGGTTTTCTTTGTTCTCCATACTTCGTCGGCGACGTCTTTCCTCTAATTCCTTTCGTTCTGGATCTTGTTCACGCCGATATGCCTCTAACTCCTCTTTCTCTGCTGTATTCAGAGTGCTGACATGTGGCTTTTTGGAGACTGGTGTCGATTCTGCATCCACATCCACTACCGACCGAGCGGCCTTCTTCCTATCATCATTGCAATTGGAAACTCGCCGAGCTCCACGTGCCAGTGCATCATAGACATTGGCCTTCATTCCTTGGGTGGTCTCGGTGTAGTGCTTTTGCGTGTCAATACTCTTATGACCCATGTGTCGAGCAACAGCATGTGGATCGACACCCAATCCCTTCATGATGGTACAAGCTTTGGCTCTCAATGCATGACCAGTCGCTACCTTGTCGGCATCCTGTACTCCGATCTTGGCACAAAACGCTTTGATGAACTTGGTGTGTTGATTATGACCGACATTTCCCGTATGGAACGCGATGTCTGGATTGCTGGGTTTGTACCAAACGTCATACTCTTTCACGGGTCGCGGATTGTCTGGATGTTCTTTGTTCCAAT